CTCATACACTTCCATTCATATAAAGTTTCGTTCATGGTAAGTATTTCCAAGAAAGGCCAGATCTGTCGCTCACGTACAATAAATCCACCACTTCGGAGAAACACAGATTCAGTGTAGTGGTTGTGCATGGGAGGTCCAGGCAGGAGGTAGAGGTAGGGTCACATATGTACAGGAAGACAAGTGGCCTGGCCAGCCTGAAAGGATCTTTCATTAAAAGCCTAACCAAGCAACGTTCTAAGAACTGAGTCGATTTTTATGGCCTGTAGAAAGAAAGTAAAATATTCTCTGTTGATGCTGTGAGAGGCAAGCAGAGTCTCACCAGAGGCTATTTCTCTGAATCCAAATAGTGCTTCATCCAGATACGTTCAGTAGCATAAAAGCCCTAATATCAAAATTAAAAACTGCTAGTGAAAAATAGACAGCTTATTCCTTTTATAATTAGGAGAGAAAATGGCCTGTTTCTGTCACTGACAGAGGTTTATGGGTACAGTAGTGCTGTTCTCACATAATGAGATAGAAGGATTCAGAGATTTATTGACTGTGCATGTGTTCTGTAGCCTCATTCCACCTGCATTCTGACATGGCGAGATACAGGATAATTTTTAGAATAAGACTAGCGTATTTGGTTTTGCTTCAAATCTGCTAATACCTTCCTCTTACATAGAAAACGTTACTGCAACCAAAGGATGTTAGGAATTTTTTCATCTTTCTGGAGCCTGCTAACAAAAAGCTTAGCTTTGTCAAATTTGCCAGAGAAAAAGATTTGATCCTCTCATAAAATACTGATTATTGAAAAAGTATGTAGAATTGCGGTGAACTAAGTAAGGTAATTATACATAAGCCTTCTTAAAGATCTATGAAGGGCCTTTTCTTTCTTTTAAGGTACAGCAAGAATTATGGTAGTGGCTGCTATTAATAGTATTTATCTGGAGCCATGGTGGTTTGAAGGGCCAAAATGAGGGAGTTTGACGTTTTCCGTAAACCACTAGTTTGGCAACTCTGTCTGTTATCAGCAGATCACTTCTTTTCTGTGGTAGGAAAATATGATTATTTTTAAATTGTTTTCCATTGTTGTGTTGCTATGTATAGGTTAGTTTTGACGGTTTTCAGTTGCAGTTCTTGTAGATATTTCCCCAAATTATATCCTGAAAGATGATGATTTTTTGAGATTAGTAAGTTATGTCAACTCTTGTAATGTGTCATTAATCATGCTACAAATGTGTTCTTAATTCCTGTTGACCTACAACATCTAAAAAATCTCCAAAAAATATTTCACTCTTCCCCTCTCCGTGCTTTTCTGTTACTGACTGATAGTGTTAAACAAAAGCCAGTTTGAACTGAGAATTAATACCACAGTTTGATAGACGTCATTTTCATTCATAGAGGTCATCATAGTTTTGTAAATTAAATACTTACAAAATGTACTTCATTTTGCTGGAATTTGACATCATCTTTCCTACATGCTTTTTTTCAGAGGAACAGAATCAAAACTGAATGTTGAAGACTTGTTCTTGCTATATCTGAAAATGCTTGGGTTTATGTGATTTTAAAACAATTTAAGAGATGTTATAATAAAACAAAGGGTTACACAGTAGATAAGGAATTTTTATTTTGTAGTATAAAGATAAGCAAATTATTGCTATATTTACAGTATTGATATATACATTCTTTCCCATTAATTATTGTAGAACTGAACAACTCAATCAAATCTTTTTTCCCCACGGAATATTTGAAGTTAAAAGAAAATTTTCAAAAATCAAATTCTGCAAAATGGCCTCTACCAAGCTGCAAGAAAGCCTTCAGAGTTTTTGAAGGTAAGTTTTTTATTTTTTCCCTAGACTAGGCTCAATCTTGAGGTATAATACTTAAAAATAAGTCTCCATCTAATATTTGCCATAGGAAATCAGAGATGGGTGTTTATTAAAGTTGAGCTAAGTTAAATTCTCCTGAGTGACTCATCCACAGTGCTCTGAATCTAAAGATAAACTGCAAAATTGTAAAAAGACAACTTGTGTGTACACCTTTTTTTTTTTTTTCTTAAATTTTTATTTTTGTATGTTATCAGGGTAACTGAAAGTAGTTTCCTGTTTGGAAAAAATTTGGTCTGCATAGTAGAATAAAGAAAATTACTGTGGAAAAAAAGTTACTAGTTCTGAGTATGGTCAATAAAGAACTCTCCAAAAAAAGTCAGAATCAATCTTTTATGAAAGAAGCCATGTAAAAAAGTTTGAATAATGTCATATATATTGCTCATTTTATGTATACGAAATGGAGTAAAGGGAGAGTGTGTTTTGGCTTTGTTTTCTGCTTATGGTATGAAGAATGCTTAGTCCTCTCCGTGCTACTTCAACACTTAAACATTTTCATGGCTATTAACTAGTTGTTAACTGAAAAATATTTAAGTTACATTACTGAAATGTGGGATTCACTGTTTACCCACATTCCCCTATTTTCAGTCTAATGGCCTTTCTTCACCAGGCCTCATCTACATTTATATAGTTACTTTCTGTAGTGCTGAGTCTTGCTAGCAGATAGCTTATTCCTGTTTGTGAGAACAATAGATTGCCTCTAAAAGTAGATGGAAAAAATAAAACAGGACATCCTTTTTATATTCCTTTTGTGAGTCTACTCAGGCCTTTCTGCAGGTCAAATTTGATAAATTCTGGTCCTCCACTTACAAAACTCTGTCACACAAGGTCATGAGTTGATACCGAAAATAACAATAAGTGCTCTTAGCTATCAAAAATAAGCAAACTTGAGAAGTTTGAGGACTGGCAGATCATCTTTGGTATTACTCAGAGAGGAAGGTGTTGGCAGGAAAAACAAAGATGAGTATTTCTTTTCTCTAACAGCAGTTAATGTAGTGCGGATGATGATGGTGAGCTTACTGATTTATTGTAATACATTACTTTGTTTGTGACATAGTTCATACATGTTCCATAGTGTAATATGTATTATGTCATAAACATGAATTGCTACCATACTGAGCTTTGTACAAACCAGATCTGGAAAGGTCATACAGCTTCAGTATTGTGCTACCTGAAAATTGGATGTGTCGTTCCACAAAAGTAACTCAGGATGCTGGATTTATGTAGTTCCAAAGGACAGCCTGAAAGTTCCACACTGAATGCGAGCATGGGTAGGTGTAGTTAATAGGAAACCCGAACGACGTAGCTGTCTGAAACTTTGGGTTTGCCTTCTTAAATATTAAGTGTCACTGCAATTCTCTCTCTTCTGACATTTTATTTGAATAAAAGCTACTGTAGGATTTGTGTCAGTTCAAAACATAAGTGTATAATATTTTCTTATTGAGCTGCTTTTTTGGGCTAACATCTAAATTGTGCTTGGCAGCATCTAAAGTTCTATATTTGGTGTTCTTGACTTTGCTTTTGTTCCTCGCGTCAGGAGGCTCCCAGGGACTTTACAGGCATAGAAGAATTCTGACACCATAATAGATGCCCTCCCAAATGATCTCTAATATCAGTGAGAGCGGTAGGGGGAAAGAAGCTACTTAGATTAATTTTTGTTTAATTAGGAAGGTAACAGCCTAATAAGATATTAGAGTTGCAGAAGACAAAATATAAAGACTGGGAAGAAGAACGGAGTGGGTACATGAGTAAAGCGACTGGAGTGAAAAGAGATATGATTACAAGGCTTAGAAAGCAATGAAAACATACAGTTTTGAATATAGAATAACTTCCTTTCATAAGACAATACTGCATTGTCGAAGAAGAAATTCTGTGGCCCTGGCCTTCCTTCCTCATTTCTTTAAGTTGTTTGTTCCTTTGTCATACTACTTAAGACTGCAGTTGTGGGACTGTGCAGTGCTTCTTCACCAAAAGGCTTTCTTTTTTTAGCCAGGATCCCTCAGATTCTTCAGTATAGCTTGTGGAATCACAAAAAGCTAATTTGCACACATGCATTTCTCACAAGATGCGTTTACAGTCTACAGTCTTCACAGTAATTGAATTTTCTGCCTCAAGGAGACACACATTACTGGGAAGTGTTGCCTTTGAGCATCTGTTATGCCTATAGTACACTAAGACAGAAAACAGAATCCAAGCACTGCTGCTTCGCTGTGTCTTAGGTCAGCTGCACTGACAGCAACTTTGTAATTTTGCTGATCTGTCAGCATTTGGACCCTAATGCTTGCACCCATTTTTCTTGCCCACAAGTCCTTTCAGCTCCAACAGGACACTGTTAAGAAAGATAAGACTGATTTTTTGATTCCAAGGTCCCGCTTGGATCCCATGAAGCAGCTGTGCTCCAGCTAGCCTTCAAGCCTTCACTTCTGCACCTCACCAAACAGAAGTGAATCTGAAAGAAAAACAAAATAAAATGTAAGGGGAGCTTTAAGGTACAAAGGTCAGTGCCACAGAGATGCGTTAAGCTTCACCCTGTTAGCACTGCCTCTTTCTGTCCCTGCTGTTTTGCCAACAGTGTTAATACAAAGCATTGTGTAAGTATCAACAGCCTTGTTTATCTTTTAAGCTTTTTTGCAGAGGCTGTTCTTTAGAGACTTGCTCAGAGCCACGGTCCAGTTGCAAAAGGAAATTCGTAGCCTTTTTCCAGTCCTAAAGACTGCATCTAGGGCTAGCTTGTGTAGGAGAGTGATACACCTCTCAGAAATTATGGCTGCTCAGTCATCTCTGTTGGTTCATCAGTGCATTGAAGGGAATCACATTCTAGCTAATCTGTATGTGTCATCAGGATTGCTTGTTCCCATTTAACCATGATATTAATTAAGACTGCTGTTCCAGGAATATTGATATCTGTAATTATGCAACACCAAGAATTGTGATAGAAAGGCCATCACAAAAAAACGTACTGTAGCCTTTCCCCGTGTATTTCTTGACATACCCCTGAATGGATGCTAGATTGGCATCTTTCGTTCTGCTTAGGGAACTAAGTGTTCATACTGGCCAGTAAGACAAACTAAGAACATTTTAGACCTGTTACACAGCCATGGTCCCACAGCAGCACCAGAGAGACCCAGGTGAACTTTAGGGGAGTTAGAGATATTGTGCTTTTCAGCCAGCAGCTTACAAATTCCATAAGTCTTTTAGGAAGGTTCTTTTCTGAAGATGCTTGAAAAAACATAGCTGTGTTCAGGATAAGAGGAAAAGTCCTCTCATCCATTGATAGCTAGTTAAAACATACTAAACAAAGGATGGAAATAAATGATCAATTTTTCTCACTGGAGGGGCATTAGCAGTCTGGTCCTAGATGGATATATGGAACAGCTTGTACTATCCAGCATATTTGTTACTGGAGATGGAGGCGATAACATTTGTTTACAGTACTGAAATATTCAGGATAATAAAAATTAAAGCCAAGGGCAAGGAGCGGCAGAAAACTGTCATGGTACTGAGTGATCTTCAGCAATCTTTAGCAAAAGGAGATAGTAAACTGGAAGGATACAGAGAAAATAAATAAGAATGTCAGTTTTAAATTACTTCCTGATGAGGAGTATGTAAATAGACTAAAATGCTTCAGCTAAAATAAGAGATGACTAAAGAGGGAGGATGATAGAGGTAATTAAAGTCATGGCAGAAGCGAATGGGCTGCTGTTATTCGCTGTCTCATTATAAAAGAACTAGATGACATTAAATAAAATTATTATTACGCCAGAGCATGAGTTCAAATAATGGCAGATTCTTGGAAGAAAAATGGAGTGAAGTTTATTAAACTCAAAGATATCACGTTTGCCTGTGGAGATCCTTGCACTGCAAGTCCCTAGGAGCTGAGAGAGAATACCAGGAAAGTATTGCAATATGCTTGCCTTGTTCTTACATTCTTTCCTTCCTGTTCACCAATTCCTCATTATTTGGCCTTGTCAGATAAAGAATGATAGGGTAGGAAGACTTTTAGACTATTTTTAGCATGCCTGTTCTTGTGCGATGTCCTACAATTTGAGGACAATGTTGTCTTCCTTTACAGTTTTTACTTAAAAGTATTTTATGTATTTATCAAATAATATTACATATTTATCATTTACTCTCTAAAGACAATTGAGAATAATACTAGTTAAACCACGCTAAGTAGATTTTGAATTACTAGCTTTTTGAAGTGGCAGTGTCATCACAGAATCTCTTTAGAGCATAATATATCTCTTGGTCTTCTTTTTTTAAGTTTTTTGTAAGGTTCTGCTGAAACTAGTTCAGGTTATGATGGGTCTCTTTGAACAAGTGGAAGCAAAGATGCCTTCTGTCTTCACCACTCTCAGGAGTTAGCAAGTATCTTTCTTTGCATTTTAGTGGAAATGGGTAATGATCCTTGCCAGCTATGCCAATTAGAATGGCAAAAGATAGATCATGGCCACAGAGCAATGACCAGTAGAACTGGTTATATTTTTAATTAGCTGTGAACTAATTATGTTTATTAAAAGTTATGTCAGACGTGCTTCCCCAGCACACTCCCCAGTCCACTTAGCACTGAAATGCACTGCATAGGAGAGCAGTTTGTACTGAAGTAGCCCCTGAAGAGTCTCAACTCTGCTGGTGTAAACACATCTTACCTTGAAAGTTAAGTTTGCCTGTTGTGCAGTCCTTTGATTCGATGCCTCATAGAAATCCCATTTACTATAAGAATAACAAAGAATTTTTTGCTGAGAATAGATGGTAGAGATACCAGTTGGCTTCATCCCTATCAATGAGTTAATAGAGAAGAAAGTAGGACGAGCGTGTATTGTTTCTGCTACCTAACACGCTCGTGATTTATACTTCATACATCTGTGTTAGTGACACAGATAGATCCACACTATTCCAGAATTTGGACATGAACACAAGTTCAGTTTGATCCTAGAGCACTTACT